TTTAATTTCCATGATATTTTGTGAAATTGCAACATAAAAAATATTTCAGATTAATTGCGAAATCATTAAATTTTGTTATTTTCAGGAAAGGTTCATGGTTCTTTGGCACGGGCTGGCAAAGTAAAAGCTCAGACACCTAAAGTAAGTAAATGCTCCTTTATTATTTGATTCTATTGTTATATTGAAATGATTATATTAATTTTATATAATACATTATTTTATACAATAATTATATATTATATAATTATATTTATAAATATATTTATGTAATAATGATACATTTTATATAATACAAATTAAATGCATACTTTAAAAAAATAAACTTTAAAAATTAACTTTGGATCGTAATACATATTTGTATTAACATTAATGTTTATTAGGTTGAAAAACAAGAGAAGAGTAAAAAGAAAACTAGGCCGTGCCAAACGACGCATCCAATATAACCGTAGATTTGTCAACGTCGTTCAAAACCTTTGGCCGCCGTCGTGGACCTAATGCCAACACAAATTCATAAAAAAAAAAGTGTTATTATATTAATTGTTACAATAAATTCGGATAAAATGTCATAAACACGTCGAAACATATTGCATGTGTATTTGGTATTTAAGATCATTTGTACTAGGTTATATTTTATAATCGACTATGAGATGCATCTGAATTTGGCATGATCTGTCATAAAGAATAAAAGGAAAATCAAATTATGCTTTGATATGATAAGCATGTACATACTACGAATAATTAGACGTTTGAGTTTCACTGATATATATATATGACACCAAAGTTTTAATTTCATATTTTAAAACACGACGATATGAATAATGTTATACACAAAATTCTGGAATTCACCATTGGAAATATATTTGGCAAAGATATAACTTGCAGAGAACCTATTCACCGTTGCGACGAATATCAGCCAGGCTCTCTGGTAGAACTGGGTAGAACTGGTATTAATGTATGAAATAATAATTAATGATATTTTTCAAAATACTCGATTAATGTAAAATTTTATAATCATATCGAGAGTTCAAATTTTTTCATTCAGATAATGAATTTGATAAAATTAAAATTATCTTTAAAAGTAGTAGTTAATATTAGTTACAAAATAATATTTTATAAATATATTTTATATAAGCATTAAAATTTTTAATTAAATTTTTAAAAAATTAATTTTTATCAAAATAAAGACTTCTTTTGTTTATACAGAAAATTTTTACAAATGGCGATGCAAATTTCTGTTTTATTATATTATTAATACAAAATGCATTAAATACACTTTTTTTTATATAATAATAAATGATAATTTTTTTAAATATCTATTATATATTAAGGAGCATATACATTTTTATGACAAAATTTATAAAGTAAGTATATAATAATACTGTTCACAAAAGAATGATATTAAATAATATTTTATAATTTTTAAATAAATAATTTTACATCATTAAAATGATTTTATCAGAAAATTTTATTTAGAATATGTCTAGATAAATTTATAGCAAATACGTGGAACGCAACTCTAGATATTGTATTATCTCAGTTTTCTGATCCGTCGGTATGGTTAGTTTTATGTCTTCTGCTAACAACTAAGGTGACAATTTTATGAGTTATAAGGTTTTATATAATTTATTAATATACATCAAGCCATAATATAATAGACATAGTACGATACATACGATTAACAACTTTTCACACTCGAGCAATGGTGATTATATGATTATACATTAAATTTACGAATACCTATGTAGAGAGATATTTGATTTAATGCATTAAAAGTATCAATTTTTATGTATAGTTTTTCAAGAAAATCTTGATGCCTTGCGGGCTATGTGCGATACCTGTGGTAAAATCAGCAAAATCAGGAGATAAAATGTCATCTTATAATAATGAAGCAGGAGTCAAGAAACTAATTCGACCATCTGAACTACCTATTTATTCTTTTGAAGACGATTATTGTAAACAGATCTCATGGTAAAGCACAAATAATTCCAATTATGAGACATTTATACAAACAATAGATTTTATTTTGATTTAAGGAATATTTTAGTCTTGTAATAAATTGTTTAAGAAGCAAAAAGCATAATTATAGATTCCTCATAAAAACTCATATGAGAATTAACATTTTATTTTATATATAACATATATTATCAATTTTATAACAGCACAGAATGTTCGCCTTCAGCTTTAGAGCAAAATATATCGAAAATTCGCAAGTCAATTCAAGCAGTTATATCCGAGTACCAGCATTATACTGGCGTTGTCTCAGATAACATCAACATTGGTTTTGAACACAGCAGATGTAAATATATATTGTAACATACTTTATATAATTTTAATATAATTTAATTATAATATAATTAAATATTTTATTGTACAGTAAAACATAATTATTTCTTTTACAGCTCTTTTAGATTATCTTCGTGAGGAAAGTAATGTTATGCCACGAATGGGTGCTATCGCTATTGGTGGAATGGCTGGACTAGTACTTGGACTTAGAGGACGCAAATTCAAGCGAATATTATATTCCAGCGCAGGTGCTCTCACTATAGCAGCTATTTGTTATCCGAAAAAGGCAGAGGAAGGATTCGACTTGACTAAACATTATGTGAACGTTGGCTACAACTTTATTTATGGTGGTAATGGATATTAGATTATTTCCAATATTGTTTTTTATATAAATGATAAATGCATGGCAACAGTAAATATGCATTACCAATTTAAAAGAAAAAACAATGAAAAAACAGTGATTGATAATACAAGGATATACATCGACAATTTTCTATGGCTTTATACTTTATCATAAATAATTTCAGTCAAACCGGGTGACAATCGACAATTACAAATCACAATACCAGAAATGCCGAAAATGCCAACATCTTTTTCGGAATTTGTTGATTTAACGATTGTCACAGGTTCAGCAATGGCTACTGCTATTGGTAGTTTTGCACAGAATGCATATACATCTTTAAGCGGTAACAAGGAGGTAGGATGCAACGAAAAAGTTTTCCTATTGCATCATTCCTCCCTTACAACTTATATTATTTAAAATAACTTCCATTTATTTTTAAGAACATGCTAAAAGAATAATTTTGTAACATGAAATATACACACATACACGCGCATATGCATGATCTTCCTAAAAAAATTATTATACATATAGTTTGTACAAAGATCATCATTTAAACAAAACAAAGATAAAACAAAACATGATCGCAATGTAACATTTCGTAACGTTAAAGAAATCTTTAAACCAATAATTGAAATATCACTTCTGCCTTCGGCAGATAAAAATATAAATATTCAAAGTTAATTTAAATGGAAATAAACTTAGGTGTTTATTTCATTTTTCCCTACTATATGTCTTGCTCGTTTACATAATTTTTCTTATATTATATGTCAATTTATAATGTTTATAAGCATTATATTTATCTTCTATTTATATATTTCAGAAAAATCAGTCGACAGCCAAGGTAGAGATTAAACAAGATTAGACGATAATAATTTTGTCAATAATAATAGTGTATAATACAGCAACAAATGTATAAAAATTTTGTTAACACTTTGGAAAAAGAAAAATTGCAAATGATTGCTTAATAAATTGTGTATATGATACATTATGTCTAATTCCTTATGTCGGAAAATAATAGAGGCAAACAATGTATCTTGTGATATATTAAATCCTGTACCGGTATACATTTTTAATATATATATATATATATATATATAA